CGGAGGTCGGCCGGCACTCGTGCTCGGAGGCCTGGGTCGCCGGCCCGTGGGGCTGTGCCTCGCCCCCTGCGTACGATGGGGTGACGGGCTGCGGGTGCAGAGAGTGGTTGGGCGTGGCCGGGTACGAGTAGTCGGTGACATCCGAGGCGTGAGACCTGCCGTTCAAGGAGAGGGCGGGAGAGGGTGACATTCCGTTAAAACGGTTTCCCGTGACACGCGTCTGAGCCACAGACGTCGCCGACACACAGACCGCGCGTCTACGCCCCTACGCGGCCGGTGAGCGCGAGCCCCAAGCGATGCCACACGAACTACTTGAGCAGCGAGCCCCCCGGGGGTCACAGGGACTCAGAGCCACAGCTCGGACGTGGAGAAGTCACACAGATCGGCAAGCGGCAGACAGCAGAGCCCAGGGCCGCGATCGCAGCGTCCTTTCTCTGAGACAGAGGCTACGAGGCAAATTCCACTTCGCTTAAAAACGGGGCGCCAGCGGCAAGGAGACTGACGGCACGTCGTCCGCAGTCATGGAACGGCAGGCGGGCTGGGCGAACAGGGACGCGAAGAACAGAGAGAGAGATCGAGACCGCGACACAGCGAGCCGCGGCTGTCATCGGGGAGGAAAGCGTTTAGCCGGAAGAGAAAGGATGTGGGCGCCAGGCGCAGGCTCCCCGGTGTCCTCCGAATGCGGATGCGGGGGGGACTCTGAAAGGAACGGGGACCTCGTGTTAGTTGGTTAACAGGGGCCGGAGAGCCCAGCCAGGCCCCGCCGAGCGGGCGCCGGACTCGGGAACGCAGAGCCGCACAGCGCGATGGCGTTAGTAAGGGACAGTCGTGCTCCTGGCCCCGGTTGCAGGACACGCGGTCGGCAAAGGGGCTCGACGTCCTCTGGCGACAGCCGAAGCGGGGCGGGCGGCCTGAGGCTGGCGATCGGGAGAGCAGAATGACAAACCCGCGGGGCGCCGCGTCCTCCTCCGTGCTCCCGGCCCGCTCCGGGGCCTTGGCGTCACTCACGAACTCGATGCCCATCTTCCTCCTCTCCCACTCGTCCTTCCTCGTTCTGACTTTCCTCACGTGTGTCTGCGGGGCGCGGCTGGGGTCCGGCTTGTGTTTCTCTCTCTGAAGGAGACAGGCAGACACGCGTGGGGACGTGGAGGGAGGGGTCGCCGAGAGAACGCGGTCTTGGGGTTCAGACATGAGCTGCCCTGAACCGGAGCGCCGCGGGGCACGGCGAAGCTCTCACGTGACGACAGACTGCTGCTTTTTCTCCTTTTTTCTCCCCTAATTGCGGTATGATGATAACGGACTTTTTTCCTTTTCCTAATTGCAGTATAAATTCTAGATTATGGTGCACATGTGATTATGTCTTTTGAGCTATGCGAAATGCTGGCAATTGAGTTAAAAATATTTTTAACGAAGGAAGAAGCTGACCTGTATTTAGATTCAGCATATTTTTACAATGTACATAAATACCCAGAACTCCGGAGTCACCGATGACATGTGCTTGGCTCTGGGTGTGTGACTATGTCATAGGCTGTGTGCACGACTTTCTAAAGGAAACAAAGTTATCTGGCAGAAAGATCGAGTGCTTCTGATGAGATGAGGAGCCAGAAACTGTAAATATTCTGGAATAATTTAGAGTGCTACCTTATAAAGTGGCTTTGTGACACGGAGTCAAAAAAGCCAATGCAAACGGGGATAAGTAGATGGACGAGGGTGTAAAGAAACGGACCGTGAATGTCTGAATTCGAGAATTATAGCAGGAGAGTTTTGGAGGGCAGGACTTTGAGACAGAGGGGTCAGGAGAGAGGACCGGCCCGTTGACAAGTGCAGGCCCCCCTAAGGGGGACCCCAGCGGGCTGGAGGGGAGGGGAGGAGAGGTGTAGGGTGACCGCTGGGACACAAAGACCCCTGCGAGAAGGCAGAAATCAGCCACAGAAGACACCGTTCCAACGTGGAGATGAGTGGGGTGGTCCTGTAATTAACTGTGGCAGAAAAGAGAGCTGGGAGGAGTCGAGTGAACGTGGGGACGGGAAGAAGTCAGTCCAAGCAGCGGAGACCCCGCGGGAGAATGTGATGAGCGCCCAGGTTTGCGGGCAGACAGGCAGCAGCCGGAGAGGAAGCTGGGCACGGGGGCATCGCGCCTCCTGAATCAGGCGAGAGAGAGCGCTGGGCAAGCACTTCATCGCTTCTCGTCCTAAGTCTACGCTCGGAATCGAACCGTTCCTGGAGCTCTGCAGACACAGCAGAAGTTCAGGATCGGCTCATGGAAACCGGGTTAGAATATATCACTTATGCGAACAGCTTACAGACATGCAGTGAAATCTGATGTTCGAATGTCCCTCAGTTATCCTGAACACATCCACTAAAAATCATGTTTCTAAATACTACCTGAAACATGAATCTAAAAAAATAAAAAAGTCAGAAGGTTTAAAACACAGAGCATGATTTCCATTTTGTAAAAGAAAAACATACACCTGTATAGGGAAAAAAAAAAGGTCAAAGGAAAAAATACACTAACATACAAACATTGGTTTCTCTGGATAATAAGATTATGAATAACATTTTAATTATTTTTTGTAATTTTCAAATAGAAAAATTTATAACAAAAAAAGTGATACGCTTCGGTAAAATAGAAAATAAATTCTCAATTAATTTAAGAGATATGATCCAAGTACAACGAATTATAATCTTTCCGGCACATGCATATAGCGAGAGGTCATGGAAAACCCTTAGGAGACAAAAGGAAATTATGAAGAAACAAAAGTTGTAATTCCATTTGCTTTCTGAAAAATAAGAGAAATTAAGATACATCTAAACCAATCCAAGGGCAGAATGCTAAATCACCTAAAAGATCAATCTTACACCCAGCCTGGAGCATTCTAATCTCAGACGCTAGGATGAGTATCCATCGTTCAGCTGAGGTATTACAAAAATCCTTTCTCCATCTGTACACATTGAAATAAAGAGGACATATGGAGTATTATAAAATAAACTGTACGTTTTCTATGAGTAAACAATCGCAACCAAATTGGCTGGGAAAAAAACCAAAAAGCAAACGGACACCCTGGGAGCTATCGAGTTGCAGTATTCCTCCCACTGAAAGATCTATGAGCAGAACCGTGTAACCTCAGGCTTATTCTCTACAGAAATAAACCGACACAAAGACTCAAACTTGAGGCTAGAGCTCAGTTAAAGCCCCAAGAATTCTCTAATATTTAACAGATGACCTGTACGGAAAAGTGACCTAGAACTTGCCTCATATCCAACCAATGACTTACGGCCCTTCTGGGGTGGGAATATTTACAGGCGCCATTACTACCAAATAGTAAATAAGCATCTTCTGTATGCAGAGCCTGTGCCAAACGCTTAAGTTATAAAGATAAAAACAGTTTTTTTTAAAGGACACCGATGTAAGGCAAGGTCTAGGTTGCTGCTCATTTTGAAACATTTTTCAATCACATTAAGAATTCTCTGTTCAAATATTTAAATGCTGGTAGAAGACTTTGAGAGCTTATGAAAACGGAAGATAACTTTATAAAAAGCAGACCTAGGAAATGAAACCATAAATCAAAATTGACTCGTCAGTTCTTGTTGTTCAGTGAATCCCTTTTGTGACAAATGTGACTTCTTGGCCATATCATTCACACCTGCAAGAAACATTTTTGCTTAATTGCTAACAAATTTTTAAAGTAAACTCCAACAGAATTCTTTTCCTGAAGTTAGAACATGTGAGATCAGTGAACTGAAGAAATCAATCTCTCTTTGGTTCATCTCTTTTTCGAAAGCTCATCGAAAAGAACAATCATGTTTTTCTGTAATTACGTCAGTTACCACCCGCCAATCATTTTCGGATGCCAAGTGGCAAAGGAAATTCAACATTCCAAGCTAAAGAGGAAGAAAAGGAATCAAATGATGATTAGAAAAAAAATGTAAGTCACTGGCAGCTATGGAGCCCGAATTCAGAGTCAACGTGATAACACTACGTCCAGATCAACTGCACGGAACACTTAAGTCAGAGATATGGAAACTCATGCAACGTGACCCGCGGAGAATCAAACCACTTTCGAGTATTATTTCAAAGCACAAACACGATGCACAGACAGTGAACGTCTGAGGAAGGATGTGAAGCACACTGTGGGACACAGGAGCACCATAGCGACCCGTCGCGCCCCGCACACAGAGAAAGCAAGCATGCCCCGGGGCTCGGCTGCGCACGCACGCACACACCTAGTGTCCGGGGACAGTGATCCCTCGGAAGACGCTCCGTGGTACACACTCTGGGACAACCTGTTGTCGGGTCTAAGCTCTTTGTCATAGGCCATCATGTTCCACTCCAGGCGCCTGTTCCTGGCTTTTCTAACCTTTTTCACCTCTCGGGTGGTGCCATCTATGCGCTTTTGCTCCTGGGGTCCAGAAAAGGGAAGCGAGCGTGCCGAGACAGAAGGGAGAGGAAAACAGGTTAAGTGCGGTGACAAAGCCAGACGCGGGCACATCCCATCACTCAGATGTGTTAAGAAAATTCTAGGAGGCCTACTCTCTCGCCCAACGCGGCCCCAGGAGGTAGCTGGGGCTTAACCATCTCAATCGAATGAGTAAAAGTTAGACTCCGCTGTGACTGTCGATGCTTCCCACGGTTTTCAGTGCACAATCCTCACGTCGCTAGGCTTTCGGCCTGTTTCCAGCGTGCTGTACCGTTCAGAGCGACGTTATACACACGAGCGCTCTGGGGACGTCACACAGAGCACTCATTCCCCGCCCGACACAATTCCGACTGGTTCGTTAGCGTGCAATCGCCTTTCAAAAAATCATCCCAAGGTTGTATTTCTAGTTTCTGAAAGATCGTTGGAGAATATTTAAGCTAATCCCGAAACGAGCTTAACCCCAAACGAAAACAAGGTAAGAACTTACCTTCCCACACAACGTCTCGTGCTTGCTCCAGCCCTACTTTGCCGGCAAAAAAAAACGTTATCAACACTTGAGTCCCACAGACGTGCTTCTTGCGAGGCAGGGACAGTCACTTCTCTGTGTGTTTATATGCTTTTCCCACTCCCCTCGAAGATTTTATGACCTCTAAGGACAAGAACTGCATGGGCCCGAGTCCCACGCTGCTCTGACAGTCCCTGCGCCCCCACGGTTTCACAGAGCAGTCAAATCTGGGTGAGCTGCCTACGTCCCAGCCCATGCCTGGCGTTGAGACAAGCGGCAAACAAAACAGGTGTCTGCCTGCCCCTAGGGAACTTGCAGTCCAGGGGGGACATCCACAGAGTCACACGGATATACGTGTGATGGCAACGTGGTACACGCGGTCTGGGGTCGAGGCAGCGTCCTGGAGTGAGGGAGACAAGACTGTGGCGCGACCCTGCGGAGGAGTCGGAGTCAGGTGCGTGCCAGCAGGGGACAGACGGCACAAGGGCTGGGGGCGAGGGACAGCGTGGCGCTGGCGGGAACGGCCGATGGGGAGGCCGGGGGAGGGCGCAGGCAGGCGAGACCGTACAGGCCACGTTCTTCATCCCAAGAGCAACGGGGAACCACTGAGAGGGGAGAAGGGCGGGCGGAACGCTGGAGGGAGAGGCGTTTGAAGAGACCCGTCTCTGTCATAGAGAACAGATTTAAAGGGGACAGGCAGGGACACCCGGTGGGACACCCGGTGGAAAGCTTCCCAGGGGGTCTAGGTCAAAGGATGGCAGTGGAGACGGACGGCCTGACTGCCTTCGGAGGTGATAACGAGGGGTAGGCGATGTAATGGCCAAGAACGTGAATGTGGAATTCACAGAGCACATGTAAGTGGGTAACGGACAGATGGAAAGATGTGTAATGCAAACTGGACTTGGGGGAAGGGAGGAGAGCTCATCAGATGATGATGATGATGATGATGATAAAAAAAAGGGAGGGCTCGTTAAGTGATGATGATAAATAATAATAATAATAATAATAATAATAATAATAATAATAATATCATCCTGTTTAGAGTATACACCAGTTCAGTGTTTTCAGATATCTTTCAAAATTTAAAAATCACACTCAACTTCTAGGAATTTACCCCAAAGAAGAAATATCCACACATGAGTGCTGAGTATATCCACTGCAGTACTGTAATAGCAAAAATCTAGAAACCATCTAAATATTCATTAATACAGTAATGGGCAAATAGTTTACGAAGCATCCAAACTTTGGAACACTATACAACTATTAAAAAGAATGAAGTACATCTTCAATTATGTCAGTATATAAATATATATGTGTGTGTGTGTCTGTGTATATAAGTCGTGTGTATAAGTCCAACTCTAGGTACATAAAAATATTTTGTGAAATGTGCATGCAAATATTTATGAACGCTTAAAAATAAAAAATCTGAAACTAAAAATATGCGCATGCCAAACTGTGAACCGTTAACAGCAGTCAGTCATGCCCAGAGTAGGGAGACACTTATCCCAAATTTTCTAAACTAATGTATTTACTTCAGTGTAATTTGAGCATTTTACAACCAGCGTGTATTGTTTGGATATTAAAAAAAAAAAAAAAGAAAAGAAAGGAAAATATGGAAGATCTCAACGGACTGCAAAACGCATCCCAGTTAAGGACCACCGCCACTAAATTAATCGGACTATCCCCCTCACTTTGAAGAGATGTATGCCGACGTATTTAGGGATGACGTGTTATAATAACTCTCTTTACAGTGGTTCAGCCTCCAAGTCTACTCACCACCACGTGCACACCACACACAGACACACGCGAACCACCTACGACGGACTCTCAACAGTGACGCATCCAGACTCCAAGTACCCGGCCCGCAGCGACGGCCCTGGGAAATGCCGAACTGTTTCCTAGCCCGGAATGACCTCAGCTCCCACGCGGAGGGCTCCTGAGCTGTAAAGCACTCCACCCCGCCAGCCCCCCTTCTCCCATACGCACCCACACCCGACGTGAACGAACCTCCACCACCCACGGTTTGGTCTCAGTGAATGACGCCCCTGAGGACACCCCTGTCCTCGACGCTGCACTTCACGCTGGCCGTCACCCCCGCCTTGCCAGCTCACCCAGAAAACACCACGCTCCTCTTCCCAGCACTCGCCAGCGTCGTCACCCCACAATGACGATGACATACTTATCTGCATAATTTAAGAAATATTTTTAAACTACCCAAACTAGCTGATTTTTCCTTTAGACAGACTCGTCCGCTCCAAACTGAAAAGGATTTGCATGTCTGAAACCCTGGAAGATTTCCAGAGTGAAGGCTATCCTGCCTCATTTTCTATTCCTACAGAAAGCAGATCTGCATTACGAGTTTCAAATCTCTTTCGCTCCAGGAGGCTGCGCAGTTATTTAATGTTTGTTTCCCCCAGTATATTGCAGTCTCCATGAGGGTGATAATCCTTTCGTTTTCACCACTGTTTATCCAGCATTTAAAGACATTAAAAAAAAAGAATCACGACATAAATGAATGAATAGGAAATTCGTATCAGAATTTTATGTTTGAGACCAAACAGCCAAGGAAATGACAAATAATTTTGAAGACACAATAATATACATAGATTAAGGCTGTTTTCCCCTGAAGAACAAATTAACTACTTTTGCCAAATGTATCACTGAGAAGGGAAACCTAGAAGGTGATTTAAATGGAGAGGCACGTTTTAAAGGAAATTTCTCTTAAAAGCCCCGGGGTTTTGCCTCGTGACTGCCAAGAGACATGGGGTTTGAGATCAACATGCCTTTAAGTATCTTTTCTTCTCCGCTCAAGAGGATAGCATCTTCCTCTTCTTTGCTTGAATGCTTCTCCCCGTGACCACTCATCAACTATTCCAAGAATTCCCAGTTAACCTCCCCGAGCCATGAGCACAAGAGAGGATGATGAACCAAGCCTATGAAATTCTCCTCTAGACTTCAGCGGTACACTCTGCAAACTGTTTCTATGTTCCCTTCCTTAAATCCTGTTCTCAAATTTCAAATTCTCTTCCATCCCTAACTGTCACTCTTCCTGGGGACAACCTGCCGAAATGTCTTAAAACCTAAGGCTGCCAATTCCCCTCTCCCACCCACACACACACACAAACACACACAAGAGTCAAGCATCTCTCTTGGCTTAAGCACTCTAACATCCATTAAGCAAATCAACTGGTCACTTTATAACACGACTTACAGACAAAAGTCTTAGCAAATATGTGCCTTCAGAGAATCATCTCTTTTCAGTGGCTTAAGTCTAATTCCTGGGCCCCAAAAGGGCAGTTTGCAAAACCTGAGTGGAGTGGGCTCGTCCATCCAGGAGTGCTCACACTGCGGGGTGCTTCTCAGCCTTCGCATCGACAGTGATGACCCGGCCTACTGCTTCCCGCCAAAGGAAGCTCGTTTCTAGTCAATGTCATCTCTGAACTGGCAGGTCATGCGTGCTTTTCAATCCACCCAAGCCTTAATGACAGCTAGGTGGTAAGCCAGGTGGTAAGCCAACCATTAAGAGAGCTTTAAAAAGACGAAAGCAGGTAATTATTGCTGATACGGAATGTTGACTGCTTTATGAAATTCGAAAGAGCAAAAAAAGTGCTAAAACTGGTCATATACGAAACTGAAATTTTAGCCACTACAGCTGTGAAAGCAAAGCCAGCATTAAAGAACAAATCGAGAATATTTACTGAAGAACAGGATTCCCTTTAGACTGACTTATCAGTATCTTCGTGTAAAAAGTACAACCTCTAAAAAACTTTTGCACTAAATCCGACCTCTCAACCATTTAAGAATTTACTGATTTATTTGCAAACTATTTTTAAAAAGAATCCCATTTACACACTTATTTGCACGTCTCCCTATTGGGTTATTTACCTTCTGACGCCTTTTTTCTTTCCTCTTGTCTTCTGTGTCCTGGAGCATTTTTTCTTTCCAGAGGTCAAAGAAATACGAAGGGTCAGTATAGAACTTCAGCCCGTCCTTTTTATCATCTCTGAAAGAATGTTGTTAGATATTTTCATACGCGTCAGTATTAATTTAATTTAAACTCACGAGATCATAACATCTGCATGGGGCATTTTAACTGTCCTATACATTGAGTTTCTTAAATTTCCCTATTTGAAAAAAAGTGGAAACATTTTTTCAAGAACCGGTAAAAAGTACTACTGACACCTTAGATTTAAGTATAGAAAAGCGCTCCTAAAAATCGCAATATTTCATACCTCAGTTATTTCAGGAAATGGTTTGTTTATTCCAACAGGGGGCTTACACACAGAAATATATAGATTCTTTATGAATTTTCTAATTCTAAATATATATTCACTTCTACTCTGGACTGTCAATGTTATTAGGATAAAGATTTTATAAGTATTCGGTGCCTTTTCCGCAATCGACTTTGCCCCAATATCTAAAAATTCATTTAAGAAGCAAAAATATTCATGGCATATAAATGCGACTTAGAAAAAAATTGATGAGCTATTTTTAAAGTGGAAGAAACCCACAAGAAAATGCCTGTAACCATTTCATTTTCAAGCACTGCTACAATTACCATGGTCTAGAAATATTTCAAGTCTTTATATGTTATTCGTTTATCGTAAACCAGTAATAATGCAGCCAACATGAATCCAAAGTTGTAATACAAATCAACAGTAAAACTTAAAATAATCACAACAGGAAGAAAACAGTCTATTGCACTAATGCTTTAAATGTGCCACCACTTTCATGAACCCAGAAGGCTAATTCAACTGCTTTCACTCTTAAAAACTAGCGCCGCAGAACACGTGTTGCAGAATTATGTAACAGATGTCCGCAGCGCTGAGATGCGGAGACAGGTGTTCTGGGGCATTGTACCGGAACCCTGCGTTCCTTAGAGGCAGACTCTGCGCGTGAGGATAACCTAACCACGAGCACCCTGTTACGCGACATGCTCACTTCTACTTACGATGTCTGCGTACAAAAGCTAAAACGAGAGCTCACACTTTTCGCGGTGAGTTCCTCTATATTTTGAAATACTGAAACGTAACAGTTGTGTGGCAACGACTAACTTCATGGTGTGTGGTTCTGCGATTCCTGTTTTCAAAGTCTCGAAGACACGTTGAGAGCACCGTTGCTCTCCCTCAGCTTCTCTGGGAACGCGCGCGGCCATCCGTACCTGTACGGCGTGAGGATGTTCAGAGGAGGTGGCTTGTCACTCTGGTTGTAGATGTCGGCCACGGGGTTAGGGATGCTGTTCTTTGAAACCACCTGCTGGTCCTGGACTGTGGAACTTTTGAAAGCTTTTTTCATGTTGATATCCTGCAGTGACACTATTTAGAGAAAAGTCCCCCAAGTTGAATTGTGTGGAAATATTTAAATGTTTAGAAATAAGTATAGTTTAGGTCGCAATCATAAACATCTCCGAGGAACCAAATAACATTTTTTATTCTTCATTTAAACCATGCTGAACCTCTTACAAATAAAAATCATCTCTATGAGGTGCAGTCATGTCTTCCTTCTTCCGTGGGCTCTCGTTGCTTCATTTAATAGCATTTCTCAGAAACCACGCAGGAATACAGTCGTGAATATGACAGGTATGTATAGATTTGGGTATACTTGACAGTGGGGGGGGGCATTCAAACAGTTAATATCAGTTTGATTCTAATACACGTAGAAAAGACATTTGAAAAAAAAATTTAAAAACTGTAAAAAAAGGTATTAAGTTTTTCTGCCACTAACATTAAAGAGAGACAGCGGAAATTAAATAGCACGATACGAAACTATACCAAGGAGTGAGAAAAATCAAGGATGATTACACTGATTTCTCGTGTTTGTACAAACTTGACATCCCCTGTGTTAACTCGACCTGACTCTGACACAAACTTCTGGAGAGGGGCAAACTGGTCCATTAACCCCCTTGACCAATGGAGCTGAGAGTCAGGGGTGGCCTTTCCAAGATCACTCAGCAAAAAAGGGGCGGGCCCCAGATAGAACACAGATTTCCTGCCTTGGTCAAGGGCTTTTTTATTTGTATTTTTATTTTTCTTACCGTAACATCCATGCCAAGGAAAGCATAGGTGATCGCCTACTTACAACGTTCGACTTAGGATTTTTCGACTTTCTGATAGCGCAAAAGCAATACTCATAATAAGTTAAGAGATGTTTAACACTTTACTATAAAACAGGCTTTGTGGTAGATGATTCTGCCCAATGGTAGGCTAATGTAAGTGTCCTGAGCACGGTTCAGGTAGGCCAGGCTAAGCTAGGATGTTCGCTAGGTAAGGTGTATTTAGTGCATTTCAACTTACAGTGGGTTTACTGGGATGTAACCCCATGGTAAGCCGAGCAGCATTTGTAATAAGGTAAAATCTTGACTGAAAAGGGATTTTAAGGATACGAAATGTATTGTAAAATCCATGAAATTTAAGCTGCAGATTAACCTCTACCAGTGTTAGGTTTATTGCAACCATTCCGATGGCAAAAGATAACAAAAAGCTGAAGGAAGACAAATATTTAAAAATCACTTGTGATATCAATTTGAAAAGTGAAGATGTTAAAAATTCCTTATCTGAATAGACCGAGTAGCTACTCCAATTTTAATTTTTTTAAATAAAAGATAAATTTTAAAAATCAGCTTTAAAAGAGCATGTCTTTAGCTCTCCAATTATTGCTGGAAAAGTCAGTAAGAAAATTTATAATGGATGTTAAAATTTCAATGTCTACATTTTTGTTAGATTCCTAATTCACTAACTTAATTCTGACATCTGAAAAAGACCTGGACATAAGTAACTTTTTTAAAAAATAAAGGATGAATTCCATAAATACCTACATTAAAAAAATAATAAAACCTTCATTTTTTAACTAATACTACTATTACAGGTCTAGTAGAAAAATCAGATGCTAGGATTATTTTAATGCAGTAAGAGAAATTGTAACTACCATTTAATAAAGGTAAAAAATTTTAATCTGAACACTTTTCTCAAAGTAAATATGAAATGGCATTTCTTATATCTTTTTTACAGATTATTTCCCCTCAGTCTAATCTCAACCTTCATTCAAAAGATACGGGAAGTGAAAATTTTAAAAAGGAATTGCTGAGTTTTGATTTTGTTCTGACTGCTAAAATTTCAGGGTGTATCATCAAAATGATGACAGTTAACTCTACAGTGCTTGCCAATATTAACATTATTTGAAGACTCCGAACCTTCAAGGTTTCAGTGAATGCTATTTCTGAGAAGTCTGATCGGCAGGATCACCAAGACTATTTAGCAGCATCAGCCCTAACAAGAGTCTGGGGGGGGACGCCTTCGCCTCGGTTCACTGTGTCTGTATAACCACCCCCACCTCGCCTTAGTTGGACCGTACCTTTGGAGTGATTCTGTAATTTTTCGGTAAAAAGGTATCTTTAAAATAACTACCGATGATGTAAATTAAAGACTTTTAATACTGTATTCAAAGACCCCTTTAAAACAAATACCATCCATGTAATTTGTTTTTAAGGGAGACTATGGCATACGAGATAGACAATATATGAATCTTTTCATCGCTAATTAACCCAATGTTGTGGGTCCCCCCCCCCCTGCACCCCCCACCATTCTTCTGGCAAAAGACAGGATGAAATATCAGCATACTACCCCAAAGAAAAAGCAATAATTACCCTGCTATTAATTACTACCACCTTGTCAACATCGCTTCTAGCTCACTGCCTTCATGCAATTACTTACCCTCTTCCACTGTAGAATCCAGCTGGGTAACTTTGACAGCAAGGCGATCAATTCTGTCTTGAAGAGAATTTGCTCTGATGTAGAAGTTGTTAGCCTCATTAAACAACTCACCAAATATGTCTTCGGCATGTTTGCCTAGAGAAGAAAATGATGGAGAAAGCCATCTGTCAGGGCCCGCTGAGGCGGCCTTTGCACATTCTACCAACGCTGATGACTGTCAACACACGGGGTTTTGTGCAAATAATCATAAAAAGAGTGTCACAGTCAAAGGCCTTCGGAATTTCTGAAAATTTCTCAGGGATGTTCATACATATCTGAAATGGACCCAAAGTTACAGAATTTTAAAATACCCCAGATAGTATAATTGCTGCATGAGCTATCATGCAAGTTGCTGCATGAGCTATCATGCAAGTTGCTTTCCATTAAATTAAACTTCTTTGGGGGAAAAAAGAAAAAGAAACACTCTCCCCTTGCATGCTTTACGCATAAACAGAATCTCAGGGCCAAAATCTTCCTTCCGCTTTCCACGGTAATTCAATAATTCATGCAGGTTTCCAAATTTAGAATTTTTCTCTCACGATGAGGAATGTTAGCTGTCTTAATTATGCCTAATGCTTTCCAATGGCATTAAGTTGTTCTAATTCATATTTTTGAAGTCTAGGTATACAGCGGTGACTCTGGCACTCTTTAAAAATCAGTATTTTGAATGTTGAATTAAATTTTTCGTATGGACCAAATTTTTCTGTATGGATCGCCTCTGCATTCTTGGGCGTGCTAGACACGACTACCTTTCTTAAAGTGTAATTCATAACATTTCGGAAATCTGACAGGCGAGACAAGAAATCACATCTGCTCATGCTGACTTTCCAAATCCTTACCCGTTCTCTCTCCATTCGACAAACGTTTAATAACTGCCTACACCGAGTGCGCCAGACGCATCTCTAACTCCTCCGACAGAGACACCGCTTTTTACAATAAACTTGATTTTTAAGAACAGTTTTAGGTGTACAGAAACACTGAGCAGAAAGCACAGAGTTCCCGTCTACACCGTACCCCCACCCCCCGCCCGGCAACACCCCCGCCTGAGCAGAGCATGGGTCATCACTGAGGAATCCACATTGCCGTGTCACCGTCACCCAAAGCCCAGTTTGCATGAGGCACGTTCTACGGATCCAGACGTTCGTATAGTGGTCCGAACCCACCTTACACTATTAGCTTCACGTGGAGCGGCCTTGTTAAGGGTGGAACGTTTTCAAGTGAGCCAACCAGCTAAGTCAGCTACAGGGAAGAAATATCTTGAGATACCAGAAGTTGTCCTACTTGCTTGTGTGTGGTTTAGGAAGTGTATTGTATAAGATATGAAGATGGCCAATGTCTGCTTCTGTGATCCATTCACTTGTTAATTAAGGGTGTTGTTCCGGGCAAATATACGCTAACAGCCAACTTCCGCTTCTGTAATCTGCTGGCTTGTTCAGGAGACCACCAGGATATGGTCCTAAGCTTTATCAGCTGCCTCCTCTAAAGGCTCGGGGCTGATTTCCTCTAGCCCTGCGTGGTAGAGAGTCAGTCGCCGGCGGCTTATAAAGGCTCATAATTGATCTCAACTGGCTCCGTGGGTCTCAGAATCATTCACACCGTAACAGCCTCACTGCCACAAAGAAATCCTGTTCCTCCCCAGCTCGACCCCTGGCCACCACTGGTCTTTTCGCTTCGCCACAGTTTTGCCTTTTCCAGAGTGTCGCAGAGCTGGAATCAGAGAGTACGCGGCCTTTTCAGACCGGCTGCTTTCACTTCACGTGCATTTAAGGTCTGTTCATGGCTTGATAGCTCATTTTTTTTTTTTTTTTTATCACTGAAAAACATCCTGTGGTCTAAATGGACCACAGGTCATTTATCCATTCACCTACTAAACAGCATCTTGGTTGCATCCAGTGTTTAGTAATTATGAATCAACATTTAGGCGCAGATTTTTGTGCGGACCCACGTCACATGGGTCAATGACAGGCAGCACGATTGCTAGACTGTACGGTGAGAGTATGTTCGGTTTTACAAGGAGCAGCCAGACGGTCTCCCAAAGTGGCTGCGCCCTTTGCTTTCCTGTCGGCCCTGAGTGAGCGTTCCCGTCCCTCCGCATCCTCGCCAGTGTTTGCTGTCATCGGAGTTCCGGATTTCGGCCACTCGGTGACGTGCAGCAGCAGCTCTTCTTAACGTGCATCTCCCTGATGACGTGGGATGCGGAGCATCTTCTCCTATGCTCATTTGCCGTCTGTGCATCTTCTTTGGTGAGGGGTCTGTCCCAATCTTTTCCCTATTTTAAAACCAGGTTGTTCCTTCTCTTGCGGTCAAATTTTAAGGGTTCTTTGAATATTTTGGATACCAGCCCTTCATCGGATTACATTTTTGCAAATATTTTCTCCCATTCTGTGGTCTCTCTTCCTACTCTCTTGACAGTATCTTTTGCAGAGCAGAAGTTTTTAATTTTAACGAAGTCCAGCTTATTAATTACGTCATTCATTTGTCACACCTTTTGGTGGGGTATCTAAAAAGTCATCACCACAGGTCATCTAGACGTTCTCCTGTGTTCTATTTTATAGTTTTGCATTTAGGTCTGTGATCCCTTTTGAATTAATTCTCATCGAGGGGATAAGGTCTGTGCGTAGACCTACCATTTCTGTTTATCTGCATATCCTACCAATTTATCCCTCGACTGAGAGAAGAGAACCCGAATCCTCCAGAAAGAAAACATACTCGGAGCAGGAATAACCGTGATGTTTTCGTAGTGCTTTACAGCTTATTTAGTGCTCTCCTACCCGCTTTCCAGATCCACGAGACCACACAGCCTGGGAGAGTAAGAACCACGTCTGTCTGTCTGTCTGTCTGTCTGTGCAGCGCTGCAGCCCAGCTCTGGAACGATGGCCCCTGGCACCCACCCTGTTCAACGAATGAGTCACTGCTTCCGCTTTCCAGATGACAGCAGCCCGTCCAAAGCTCCTGACTAGTGAGTGGGAGAAAACAAAAACTTCCTAACTTTCGATTCTCTGCTTTTATCACGTATCTCCCTGAACTTCCTTGGCCAGACAGTAGCAACTTCCACAAATTATTTCAGACCGCGAGACACTTGGTAATTCCCTGTTTACTTAATAAGAGGGACTAAAACATTTTCCTGCTTGAGTGGTTACTTATAGATACTAGATAAGTACTAAAATTAACATAAAAAATAAAAAAATAAAATTAGTTACGACTCTATAAATTCTAATAGTGTAACTGTCTTAACATGAGCCCACTCCATCTTCTCCCAAAAGTGTGCGGCGGGGGAGGACCCCAGACTACTAATTTCAATTGAGCACTCAACTATGTCCTTAAAACCACGTATCTACAGTATGGTCCTCTGGAGTCGTTTAAAATTCTGCGGAGGTTTCCCACTCTCACAATGTACAAAATGGGTCCGAAAAGGCAAAGAAAGAGTCTTCACGCAAAGTGTGTGTTTTCAAACACTAGAGTGAGATGCGCTATCCGGGACTGACGCTCGTTTGCCGCCATAAGAACTCTTTCCTGAGCGCTGGGTCCGTGTGGCTCGCTAGCTCACGGACGCCCCCCTGTGTTGATTGATGTCCACGTCCGATCCTGGACAAGTTCTACGACGAACTGATTTTCACTTCAACTTGAACTCGCGTTCCCCACATTGAAAGGCATTGACCATCCCAAATGAAGCCCGAGCAAGAAACGAGGCAGCCGTGACAGTCCCCGCCCGTCCCCCGCGGCTCACCCAGCGCCAGATCTCGCCGGCTCTTCTCTGCCCAGCAAGCCCCTCGCTTGGACCCTCCTTGTTTTGCTCCTGAATGACAACAGCTTTGTTTCTTCTGCTTTCCAATTCGCCCCCACCCCCAAATCCAGTACCTCACACTGCTGCCAAGTGACCTTTCTAAAAGAAAGAAGTGACTACGTCCTTCTGTTTACATCCCTCCCTGTCCCCGTCATCTCGAGATGAAGTCCAAGCCTGGCACTGAGATCTGAGAGGCCCAGGGGACCTCGCTTCTGCCCCTTCTTTGTGCTCCAGCCAGAAACACAACTTGCGGTCCCTAAACCCATGCCGCTCCCTCACAGACCCTGACACTCCTCTGCGTTTTCAAATTCCTTCCATGTCTTCCTTGTCGTCTCACTCAGAATAAAAGCCGAAGACCATGGAACAGCGTATGAGGTTCTACGTGCTCTAACTCCACGGACCTTGCTGGCCTCGTGACGAACACCCTGTCCCTTGAAGACTCCACTCTAACCACGCTGGCGCATCCCTGTTTCTCAGATATGCCAATCATAACCCGTCTCCTTGTGCTTCTGCATCTCCTGCTCCTGCTGCCTGGACCATTTCAGACCCAGAGATTCACATGGTTTGCTTCCTCCTCATCCAGGTCCACCCGAATGTCACCTTCTGAGTGAGACTTTCTCTAGCAACCCTAGCTAAATTGCAGTCACCTTCACACACACACACACACACACACACACACACACACACACACACACACACCTTTATCTCCTCCCTGCTGTATTTTTCTCCTTAGCACTTAGCACCATGCTTTATCTCCTCCTGCTGTATTTTTCTCCTTAGCACTTAGCACCATGTAATAAAAGATACACTTGTACTTATTAAAGCATTTCCTGTCTCCTTCCCTGAGATTGTACGAACGAAAATGACAAGGACCCTCCTCGGCTCTGTGTACTGCTGTACCAACCCCCAAGGTCTAGGGCATGACCGGCTTACAGTAGGTCCTCACAAAGATTCTGGAATAAATGAATTAAAATGCATTAACGTAAAAGCCATCCTTTAGGATGCAGGTTGGGTCTGTGAGCTCGGACGCCCCTCTCTGCTTTCCCACAATGCCCTAAGTAGACCGCAAACACACTGCTCATCACGCTCATCACGTAACTCTAATCTTGACCGTGTACGTAAGTTCTCTGAAGCGTGAGCTATGCCTTTTATCCATGCACCGCGCTGAGCCAGAGCTCAGTATCTCTTGACTGAAAAACACAGGGTCTATACTAGTGTTTTCTTGTTAATGGGTACACAACCAACAAATGCTCCCTACTTAAGGAAGTCTAGGAAATGCTGGGCTAAAAAAGATTAAACATGTTTTTATGCC